CTTCAGTTCTCAACTGAGGTTTAACTCAGTTCTTCCTATAGTTCAGTTTGGTTCATTATGTTCAGTTCTCATGTTAGGTTTGGTTCAGTTCTCAAGTTAGATTTGGTTCAGTTCTCATGCTAGGTTTAGTTAAGTTCTCATGTTAGGTTTGGTTCAGTTCTCCATGTTAGATTTGGTTCAGTTCTCATTTTAGGTTTGGTTCAGTTCTCATGTTAGGTCTGGTTCAGTTCTCATGTTAGGTCTGGTTCAGTTCTCATGTTAGGTTTGGTTCAGTTCTCATGTTAGGTTTGGTTCAGTTCTCATGTTAGGTCTGGTTCACTTCTCATGTTAGGTATGGTTCAGTTCTCATGTAAGGTTTGGTTCAGTTCTCATGTTAGGTCTGGTTCAGTTCTCATGTTAGGTTTGGTTCAGTTCTCATGTTAGGTTTGGTTCAGTTCTCCATGTTAAAGGTGGAGTTCTGCAAGGCTGAAATCTGATTTCAAGGTTTCCTGATCTAGACATATCTACAGACAGAACCTCCTGCACTGCTGCATATTTCCAACCTAATATTCTTATATACGTCCCTGCTCCAGGTCCCACAAGTTCCTAAGAATACGGAAGCTATCCCACCCACACTAAATCAACCACAATACATGTTATCTAGTATTCTATTCTACACTACATTAAACACTCATCCAAACCTAATCTTGCCTTTATAAGCTTACTCATTCTAGAACCATTAAGATCACTATTCAGGAACTTGAATTCTTCAAGACCAATGTTTGGATGAAGTGTTGTCTACTTATTGCTGCTCATTGCACCATAAGTCTTTTGTATGTTTGCTCAAGGGTCTCTTGTACGTAAAATAAACTCTCAACATTTCTATTTAAGCTTCACTTGGTAGCGGGGTCCTGGTGACATTACACGGTTAAATGTTTGTTGTTTCACCACAGTGTACTGTGGTTATTATAGGATTATTCCCCTAGATTAGGTTTTAAACCTTGTCTCTAGGTACCCCCCTAATACAGGCAACGGTTGGATTGTTTGAGTAGGATTTGATAAATCTGATGTGAATTGAAAAGGTAGTGGAGAACCTGTGGACAGCTGGCTGTGTGGTGAGGTATGCGAAGATATTACAAAAACAAAACGATCAATCATTGGCCTGTATATTGGTCTTTACCAGCTTACCTACATACTTCTCGAACCCACAATACTACCTAGACGTGATAAGAGATACAACACACATGGTGGAAACCTTTATCTAGGCCATTCTTTCATCTGCTTATTCTAATGATGGTTTAGGGACTGAGGGGACTGAAGGGACTGAGAGAGGGGGGGGGGGTTCAGTAAAACCTAAAACTAAATGTCTAATTATGATTTAGATAAAGAATGATGTATATAGAGTAGAGCTAGGATGATGTAAGACATGAAGGAATATTCAAAGGATTTTGATGAGTATCAGACTTTAATCAGATAACGTTTACATGGAAATATAAACCCTGTAATAGCCATATCTATAAAGGGGGGGGATTTAGGGAATTCAAAGTCAGGATTATAGATAAAAGATAAGATTCTGACATAACATTGGTTAGTTCAATCCTTCTAATGACCCTAAACCCACCTTCTCTATCAGTTTCATGAATCCTACAGAACTCAAACCTTTTAGGATCCAACAGATTTCAAAACATCAAGTGCAAGTAATTTAAAATTATCTAAAGATCCCCTTTTAGGGTCATTGGACATACCTCAAGGGACCCTATAGTCGTTTAAAACCCTAAATCAAGTTCTTGAGAGCATGAGTGTTTCTACTCTTTGGACATTTTTCATTTCTGTAGTTCGTGAGTCTTTAAATGACTCGGAGAGACATTTGAGAGTTGGTTATTAGAAAATATCAAATTTTCAAGACTTCAGTTGAAAATTAAAGATTGGAAGATAAAATAATTGAAAACTAAAATTGTCAGGATTTTATGTCACTAAAATGTATTTTTCAAGGTTTGAGATAGAAAAGGAAAGGAGCTAGGGAGGGGTTGGGGGAATTTTATTTGTAGAAATGTGGAAATATCAGTTCAGCATCGGCAAGATCTAAGATTTAAGACAGAAAACTTTATAAACTTCAGACCTAGACATTTTACACATTGTAAAAAAAACTTTAGGCTGTGTAAACAATACCCTGAGAGAGAAACCGAGATCGGAGAACCCTGACATTCTTTACCTTGATTCAACACTAACAACCAAATCCATCCTTTCGTGAAACTTTTATGTTTTTAGAAAACTCAGATTTCATTTTAAGATCTCAAAGACATTTATTTTACTAGATTTTAACAGTTCTAATTTTATCTAGTTTCTATCTATATCGGTCGTTCGTCAAGAAAACTCTTAACAGGAGAACACATTTTACAATTACAATTCTATAAACCTAGCAGGGAAGGATAATTAATGAAAAATAGGCGAAAAAGTGAAAACTGGGCAAAAGGGCAAATTTTAGGACAAATTCTGTCAAAGTACATGAAAAATTTATAAGCAGGGGAAAAAAAGTATTAAGAAGAAAGCTTATCTGAAGAATTTCGAGGACAAATTTTGCAGGAAAAGATTAATTTTTGTTTGTAAAATATTAAATTAGATTTGAAGAATGGGGGGGGGGGGGGGGAAGGAAGAATGGAAGGACAGGAAGAAATCCTTCCGTCTCCAAGAATCCAGAGCTGTATCCGGAGCGCAGTGCACTGCGTGAAATCGGAGCAAAAAATTTGAATTCTCATTTCCTGATGAACAGGGAACCTCTGATCCCGGACCAACGGGTTCCGGACAAGTTTCCAGGATGAGAGCTAGGTTCCAGGAACCTGGACTCAGAGAAAGGTTCCGAGGGAAAAAGTGCAGCAGGGTTCAGATCCAGCAGGTCACGCTATTGGAGTTCGGAGCAGACCAGATGGAAACCTATTCAAGAAATCTTCAAAATTGTCTCAGATTCAGAGAAATTTTCAAATTTTAAAATTATCTATTTGATCTGTGCTCTGCTGTACTTGGACCCAATTAAATGTAAAAAAGAAAGATTTTTTTCAACATTCATTGCAGAACACAGATGTGTTAAAAATGTAAAAAATGCGGGAAAAAGATACGGCGGGGGAGGGGGAATGATAAAAATGAAAATAAATCAGTTTGCGAGGTTTCCCATCCCCTCCCACTCCGACAAGGGGGAATTTCAGTATATAATTAAGCATTCCAGACCCTGCGATTTTGCACGATATTATGGGGGAGAGCTTACATCAAGCGCGCATCTCATATTTAAGCGCGCATACAAACACACTTAAATCATCTTCCCGCACTGGACTGCGTAATTTACCCTTGTAATATTTAGGTTAGATGGGGTTAGAACTTAGAAATAAAAAACTGTACGAAATTAATTGGAAGAATAAATCCACGAAAAGTTGTAAAAACCTTTTTAAGATCCGACAAATCTATACTAAAATGGGGAAATTATGCTAATATATTGAGTAAAAATAGATTATTTAGCGTCAGCATACGCTACAAAACGCTTCATTATAATTCCGTCCAACGCTGCCCATGAATACACTAAAAAGGGATTTTAGAAACCCACGCTTGCATATGAGTTGGACCAAAAATGTGCTCTTTAGAAATACAAGAATTTTACAATCTTTTGTTAGAGGAGGGTTTAGAGGAGCAAGGATGGATTTATTGTTGGAATCTTTTAGTTTCGTGCACTTGATGGAGACAAATATTGATCTATTGCATTCTACCATCCGTCCTAGTGATCGGAGAAGAATCAACCTTTCACCTCTTCTTCCTCCTCCATACAATCATATCCCAGAGTTAGATAACGGTTAAAGATTTTGAGAAATGAAATTTAATAAAAATATGTAGTTTTACCGAGACTCAGAGTAAGAAATAAAACCCGGGGTAAGAGAGGAAACATTGTAAAAGTATCAGAAAGTAACCCTCGAATCCAGAGTAAAAAACTTTGAATTTTGAATAAGCAATGAAACCCTGTACCCTGAGTAAGCAATGAAACCCTGTACCCTGAGTAAGCAATGAAACCCTGTACCCTTAGTAAGCAATGAAACCCTGTACCCTAAGTAAGCAATGAAACCCTCTACCCTGAGTAAGCAATGAAACCCTGTACCCTGAGTAAGCAATGAAACCCTGTACCCTGAGTAAGCAATGAAACCCTGTACCCTGAGTAAGCAATGAAACCCTGTACCCTGAGTAAGCAATGAAACCCTGTACCCTGAGTAAGCAATGAAACCCTGTACCCTGAGTAAGCAATGAAACCCTGTACCCTGAGTAAGCAATGAAACCCTGCAGCTGGAGCTGAATTAATCAGAATCTAAGAGTGTAAAGAAACCTAAATAATTGCATATTTACGAGCTCCAGACCTTTTAATTTTGACGAATGATCTCTGGTTAATGACGTTAATTATAGTTTTCTAAGTGAAGAAGAAGGAGTCCATTGCTCAATTTTTGAGTGCTCATTTAAACTACGCGCGCGTATTTAAGGTTTTTAGGTGTTAATTAAACTACGTACAAATGTTATATGTATACTGTATAGGCAGTTAACACTTTAGTGCTAAACAATTCACTAACACGACTCTCTACTGTTTCTTTTTATGGCCAAATAAGTATGCAAAAATGTTCGAAAAGTTGCATAAAGATAATTCTTGCACATAAATTGTGTTCTATGTTCCTTACTTTCCGGTTCTTTTTTACAGTTTTTTATAATGTTAATTAAATGGATTTTAATAATTTGAATCATTATTTGTAATGTTTAAGTTAAAACTGTAACTTTTTTTAGAATTATAACGGTCTGCCAATTTTTATAATTTTTCATACATCTATCGTTTTCTTTTAAGTTACTCCTACTCCTACTCCTACTCCTACTCCTACTCCTACTCCTACTCCTACTCCTACTCCTACTCCTACTCCTACTCCTACTCCTACTCCTACTCCTTCTCCTACTCCTACTCCTACTCCTACTCATACTCCTACTCCTACTCCTACTACCACTCCTACCTGATCAGGTTTAAGTCCAGGGGGAACCCAAGTATACTCTTCCAGAGCACATCCAGAGTCATCATCGGAGTGTGAATGCCTCTGAATATCCGAAACAACTCCTTGTCCAACGCCTGGAGGATGTCCAGCTCCTCCTACTCCTCCTACTCCTGCTCCCTCCAGCTTAACCTCGCCGGACATCTCAGAAACTGTTTGCCTGAAATAAAGAAAATTTATTAAAATTTGGTTCTTTTTAATAAAATCTTGATTATCCTAAAACACGAACAGACAAAAATGTAAAAAATCCCCATTTACCCTAACATAGCGTTCTAATAAAATTACGAATTACCCGAAAAACGCGCTAATGAGAAATATTTGCAAAGCTAGACAGACGGCCTCCAATCCTGTCCTAACTGTCAAATTCCTAAATTGTCCAGGAATAAGTTTCCCTGGATCTGTTTTCTAAGCTTTAAAAAAACGTCTGTAAAGAAGTTGAGACGTATCAGTGAAGAGATAAGAATGAGAAGGATCGTAGAGAGATGCTGTTTTAACATTTAAACCTCGTGTGTCCGATACAGGATAGACTTGTTAAATCTTCTCTAGAAAATCCGCTAGATTTTTATCTTTCTCGGACGGATTACAAGGAGAAGTAAACGTTAAATCTAAACTCGTAAAATCCACAATTATACTCTCAAAATCCCCCAATTTTCAACCCATCTAATCCAAACGACATGTCTAGGTCTTGCTAATTATTTGCCTTTTATGGCCAATAAGACTAAAATAAAAGGTAAATTTGTTTAAAAGTATTTAAACATGTTTTCTTTTCCATGGAACCGGAATTATTGTTAGAAACTGCTCGAGATACGGTCAATTTTTCTTTTCAGTTCTTTTGAACCCCAAGTCAGTAAAAGAAATTATTTTGTTGTAACTAATTTATTATAATAGTTGGGGGTAGTAAAGATCCTATCTAGCAGATGGTACATCCTTAAACACCTTTCCTGTCTAACCCCCCCCCCCCTTCCATTCCCTGCCCTCAATTAAATAAAAGTTAGGTTAAGAAAACCTATTTTCTGGCATCTTTAGAAAGGAAATTTCGACTTTTAAGCGTCGGTCAAGAAAACGGACACGCGACCGAAGGGGGCGTACAATTACTCGCCCACCCCCTCAGTGCCACAATTTCTGTTAAAAAGACTGTAGAAAACAAACAAAAGTTTGCAATTAACAGAGAGTTTATAAAGTAAACTTAGCCCCTCCCCTTTCCAAACCTCCAGTTGCGCCCATGTATGGAGGAACTTTAAAGCTAAAACAAATACAACTTGATATTATTTAGATTGTAGACTAGCGCAGGGTTTGTAGCCTGTAGCTTGAATTGCATCTTGGAATGATCGCGGGGTTGAATAAAGACATTGCAAGAATTGCATGGAATACTTTAAGCACGCAGTCACATTTATAACGTTACACCATGGTAATATAAAAACAGACAAACATGCACTACACACATCTTTAATCTATCTGTAAATCTTTCTGCCTTGCACATTGAACATAGCAAACTGAAAATTGCACATTTAAAAATCCACTTCACTGTTGCAAAAAACATTAAACACATAGCCCAATGTTCTCACACAAACACGTTCGTTTCAGAATTCTTTTAATTTTTGAAAACATTTATTTCAAGGTACTTAACCTTCCGGTCATATTCATCTAGATCTTTCTATCTTTCTCAAGTTCACATTCCCTACACTTTGCTCATACTAACCTACAGCTGTCAGAATGCTGTCTATATGGTGCTAATAGAATATGACAAACAATGATGCTATTTACACGCTAAACTTTCAACATTTTTCAAATATACAGTATGTATTTGTTTAAGAAATTCAGCCAAAATAATATTTATTGAAAAGTAGTAGGCCCCAGTGGGGGGGGGGGGGGTCAGGTCTTGCTTGTTTCCTGAAAACTCTAGATATCTGTTTAAACCCTAAGAATGATGTATCGCTAAAGATAAGAATTTCAGCAGAATGATGTAGTTTCAGCTGATCCTTCAACTGATAAAGGAAAATATAACAAAACAACAATTTTAAACCAAAACTAGATAAAATCATAATTTCAATCTGAAGCAGATACAATCATATGCTGGTCCAGTTGTTCCTGGAGCCACCACTGATATTAAACCCCCTGGAGCAGGCAGAAGTCAAATCTGAACCTAACTCTAGGTTTCAAGTTGCACGCCACAACAGATAAATATCTTACAATATTCAAGGATTCAGGTTCCGCCTTGGATTCATGGTTTCTAGTTTCGTCTCCGGGTTAGATTGCAATCTTTCGTGTCGACAGCTTAATAAATAATCATTTAAATGCAAAAAAATCCAGGATTTTTCTAGGATTAAGAAGGATTTGTAAATGTACTGTATATTCACAATACGCATGCATAATTTTTAATGCACGTTGCACAATCCGCATAGAATTGGGCCCAAGTAATATGCATGTTAGGAATCTACTCTAATTCTTTGGTGCTGTAACATATTGTGTCAAGTACACTGAGCTTGTTTACATTGTGTATAGAAGAAATATAAAAATTGCATTTCACTGTAAAATTTTCTCACAAGATGATTCATTAGGTGTACAGTTCCGTTTTGTCTAAAGTCTGTACATATACTGTACAACTTGCCGTAAGTGTAGGATCAGGTGTGGATTCCTAGTGTTAGATATTTCTTGGTTGAGCCTATATAGGAGGAGGAGATATATTTCATCAATTGTTTAGATGAGGTGTAGAGGAGAGAGTATTAGAGGGTGGGTAGATCATGCCGTACAATTATATACGCAGATTTATCCAGACCCGGAGCAAGGGTTGCAGGGACCACGAACCAAACCAGCTCAGGGTTGGCTCGGAGTACGGAGTAACCCAGCTCAGGGTAGTCTTGTGGTATGTAGGGTTTATTTACAAGGTTTAAATCTGGTTTATATGGATCATGTTTCAATTTTTAGTTCGAATTAGAGACAATCAAGAGAATTTGATCCGAGGGGGTTTTAAGTTCAAACCCTCTGCTTAGAATGACATTGCATTTATCTAAATATGTTCAATATCAAAGCAAAATTTTTAAAAAATGTGAATTTTCAAAATCATTTATTTAATTAAATTGGTCTACTGGTTGTAAGAAATGATCTTTGTTCTCTTATTGTAAAATTTGAAGGAATTGTTTCTTATGTTTCAAATTCTCCGAATTAAGTTTTGTCTCCTGAACTCCAAGGACTGGATGGAGCTAAGTGTCTGTTTTGTCGCTGAGTCTAAGGTTTTGCTGACTGTAGTGTATACTCACTATATACACTAATTCTAGATTGAATATGTCCTTGTTAGAGGTTAACATTCAAATACACTTCCTTACTTGTGTGTCTATATTCACGCCCCCCAATTCCCATATCCCACTCCCCCTCCCCCACATAACCAGACTGAGATTTAAGGAGGAATCGTTATCCTATATTCAGGGTGGTAATTCTCCATGTATGTGAAAATACTGAGGAGTTACCTTGAACTTAGGACGGAGAAGTGAATCCACTAAACCCCAATATGCAAGGTATGATCTTAATATAGATATGCAGTTTTATGCTTTATTGATAACGAAAACGTTCCCCTCAATGCATTGCAAAAAGTTCAATTTTGTTTCGATCTTAAAGAATATCAACAAAATAACGTTTAAGTTGAATACAATTCTTTTGCACGATTGTGCCTTTTAAAGTGAGTAATATTTGAAAAAATGGTAAAGCCACGCTTAACTGAATTTTTATCCCTGTTCATCTGATGATGGAAGCAGATTAAAGAGAAAAAATGATTTTGCATCTAATTCATACTCCTGGGTTTGCACTTCCTCCCCCTCTATTCTGCTGCTTCATGTATACCAACTTGTCTACAAGGAGCACATTTTTTTTTAAATCCTTAATTATAGAGGTTTACTCTATACATAGATATATTGATAATTTTAACATGAAGTGGTATATACAAAGTACACGAGAGTGCTTTAATTCAAAAAACATATTTCTGAATAAACTACAGGATTCATTGTTTTGAAAACTTGTGCTTTTTCGTTTTGTTTAGAGTTTTTACGTTGTGTTCAAGAGATTGTTGTTCTTAATTCAATAGAGTAGAACATGAGGCGAAGTTTAGGCCTAGTTGAAACTTTTTCTATTTAAAATAGTTGAAAAATCTTCTCTCTTCTGTCCCGCCCAATTTCCTTCGAAATGTTTACATTAAACTTGAAAAATAAACAAATGTATCCCGTCAAGGAGTTATTTTCCTCCTTTATTTGTCTTTATGCAAACTATTCAGGAAACATTTCTGCATTTTTTGAAATATTTTCTACTTTCTTGTTGTACTTTCATTATTTTTTGGATTTGGACGAAATTCAAAGATACCCTTCTCCGGGAATAAGATTAATCTTTAACTTCTGCTCCAGGTTCAAGATTTGTCCTATTCTGCTCCAGGTACAAGATTTATCCTATCCTGCTCCTGTTGCAAGATTTAACCTATCCTGCTCCAGGTACAAAATTGATCCTATCCTGCTCCAGGTACAAGATTTATGCTATCCTGCTCCAGGTAAAAGATGTATTCTATCATGCTCCAGGTACAAGAGTTATCCTATCCTGCTCCAGGTGCAAGATTTAACCCATCCTGCTCCAGGTACTAGATATATCCTATCCTGCTCCAGGTACAAGATTTATCCTATCCTGCTCCGGGTATAAAATTTATCTGACAAAGTGTCAACGGAGTTAAATACTCACGCAAAACTTATCTTCAATCATCTCCGGTTCAATGACCAAAATTTATATAAATCAACTCCTTTTACATCTAGAGAGATATTTTCTCTTCAATAATCGTAATGTTGTCATGGTCACGTGCTAGGCAAAGCAAGAAATCAAAGAATTGAAAAAATAAATGTTTGTCGGATTTAAAGGAAAAGATCTTCTTATTTAAATCTTGACAGATTTATGTAATTTAAATTTTTATTTTATTACAAACTTTTGTTTCATTTCTATTAAAAGAAAAATATTCAAATTAAAATTATTTTCAATGTGTGAGTTTATGTGTTTTTTTTTCTGTGAACTAATACATTGACAAATACTTGCAGGTAGTTTGTTTGTAACTCTAAATGTGTTTACATTCTGAAATCCTCATCCTTCAAATTCTTGTTTGTTTTTTCTCCGCCATTGTTAAAGAACGAAACGGATCAAACTCTTTGAGAAAGCAAGAAGTAAATTCTTGAACTCTAATAACACCCCAGACCCTGTCAGATAAAATACATTCCCCCAATACTTTCCTCCCCCTTCCTCTTCTATTTAAACTGCTTGAACTAAAAGATTGATTGGATTGGACTAGGAGTCCTAGGAGAGATACTCTGAATTTAAAAACTTCCATACTTTTCCTGATTTCAACAAATCTGTTAACTGCTATCATGTACTGTAAATACACAAAACGAGATCGCATTTGAAAACTTCATCCGGGGCTGGATTATATGTATGTATTGAGTATATACAGAACTCGACGATTTCAATCGAACAAAAGTTCGTCGTTTAATTATATTGTCGAACAAAACAATGTTGTTTACAAACAAGGCCTATTCAAAAAATAAATTCTGTCATGTCTATTCTGCAAGAACAATAAGAGAACTGAGAAGTCTATTCTAAAATGACAAGATGTGTCTAAACAAGGCTATTTATGGGGTCAAAGGACTTGTAAGGATGGTTTGATTGACATGAGTAGTGTTAGTGTTGGTTCCTGGTTTAATCTTGGCAAACCACCCTCCCCTCACACAATAACACGGCGCTACATACGCTAAGGTCAGAATCAAATTGATGTAAATTTAAGGAGAAAGGTGGGGTGAGTTGGATATTTACAATTGAGATAAAGACCAATTTTGATAGTATGGAAGAATCCAGATATGTCTGTCAAAACAGAATACAAAACAGGGGGTTCAAAAATACATTAAACTTTACACAAAAAAATTTAAACTTTAAATTTTCATAATTTCATGGATCAATAGAACTTTAAAGAAAACCCAAAAAGTAGGCAAACAAGTTAGATTTACAGCTTTTTAAATTTGCGTCAAAAGTTGAGCAAATGCGTAATGAGGAGAGATTTTTCCAAGAATGGTATGAAGTGTGTGGAGAGGGAGCAGGAGGGAAGGGATCGTTTATCGAGATTTTTATATCATCATTAGAAACATAGAGATACAGAGAATACCAGGTGTTTGAAATTTAACTGTTAGCAGACGGATATACAGGGTTACCCACACAACATGAGACTTTACTCACATAAAACTTAGAAATGAAAACGATTTTAAGGTTGAAATTTGTCTGAAATATATAGCATTCAAGTGATTTAGATTATGATATATATGGCATAGAAAAAATAAGTTTTAAGATACAGGAAACCAAATTTAAAAGAAAAGGAATAGGGGGGGAAATGAAAAAGTTTGTGCTTGAATTATAAGATTACTTGGATTTTAAAACTGCTTGGATTGTAATAGTACTTGAATTAAAAGATTGCTTGGATTAAAAAACTGCTTGGATTGTAATAGTACTTGAATTATAAGATTGCTTGGATTTTAAACTGCTTGAACTAAAAGATTGATTGGATTAAAAGATTGCTTGGATTATAAGACTGCTTGGATCAAAAGATTGCTTGGATCAAAAGATTGCTTGGATTAAAAGATTGCTTGAATTTAAAGATTTTTTTGGATTAAAAGATTGATGGATTATAAAACTGCTTGGATTGCAAGATTGCTTGGATTAAAAGATTGCTTGGATTAAAAGATTACTTGGATTAAAAGATTGCTTGGATTAAAAAATTGTTTGGATTAAAAGATTTCCTGGATTATAAAACTGCTTGGATTGCAAGAATGCTTGGATTAAAAGATTGCTTGGACGTTTGAACTTTTTGATTTTGAGACAGCTTAGATGATTAGACTGTTTCCGTTGAAAGACTGTTTTAATTATAAAAATACTTTAGTAATTATTATTTTTGGTTTTCAAGAATGATTGAGTTTAGTTGCAATATCAAGACTAGCGTTACGATATTAAGATAGCTTAGGGTTCTACACAAGCATGTCAATTGTTTTAATCTTTAAATTTCCCAAAACATTATTGAGAAAAATATTGTTGATATTTATCACAAGGGGATGCTTTAGACTGAAATATTTCAAGGTTTGTTTTTATTTACCTGCTTATTTTGAAACTTTAAACACCATCTTACAGATTAATTCACAACACAGATTTTTTTCGTAAATTCTCTCACAATTCTTTAATTATTTTTTAACTTTATTCTCGTATTATCTACTCACGAGAGATTCCGAATTTACATTTTAATTGGATTTTTATTTCACAGTTTTAGGTTTAAGTTGTTGTCTGAACTTCTCAGGTTGGGACGCGCAGTCTCCGATCCTAGCACAGGTTAAACATGAACTGGGTATATTTACGGGACGGATCGGTGTGCTCAGGGTAGCCGGGGTATCTGTACTCCAACACCGATACATACATATACTCTACCTAGACAAAAACCTTTAGGACGTTTAAATCCCCTCCCCGCTCCTCTTCATGTTTAGAAAATTTTTTCTTTAAAACCATCTACTCCCCTTTGTCCTAAACACTTATTTACAATTTAAAAACTAATTAACAGTATATTATGTAAAATGCATGAAAACGTATTTATGATCATATTTGAAGTAATTAGTTATAATTACATTCATTTCCCCCTTGTGCTCAAAGACCAAGGAAAATACTTGTCAGGACTCCAGAAGATCAAAGGTTCTTTCTCAATGGTTCTTATCTAATGAAACTTTTCCAATGGTGCTTTCTTATTGTTACTTTTCCTATGGTATTTCCCAATGGTTCTTTCCTAATGGTACTCTCCCAATGGTACTTTCTCAAAGATAATTTACAATTGGTATTTTCTAATTGTTACTTTCCCAATAGTATTCTCTCAATTGTGCATTCCCAAAAATTCTTCCCTAATGGTATTTTATCAATAGCATTTCCCCAAAATAAGCAATTTCTTACATGAACATTTTCAAATTTTCCAAACATTACAAAAGAAAATATACAAATGGGAAATTAGCACTTTGGAGTTTGGTCCTTGGGAAGTTTTCTCTTTGGTTGTATTGTAGTAAATACCCTACTCCTTAAACTGTTCTCAGACCCGTATCTATCCAGGTACAACTTAGTTTTACACGATTATCAATATCAAAACCCTGACACTAGCACGGGAACTATCAATGCCAAACCAATGGGCACAATCTCATCAGCTATCTATGTCAACACGGACATTAGCTTGTACTCTATCAATCCCAGACCAATGGGCACGATCTCATCAGCTATCAATGTCAACACGGACACTAGCTTGTACTCTATCAATCCCAGACCAATGGGCACGATCTCATCAGCTATCAATGTCAACACGGACACTAGCTTGTACTCAATGCCAGACCAATGGGCACGATCTCATCAGCTATCAATGTCAACACGGACACTAGCTTGTACTCTATCAATCCCAGACCAATGGGCACGATCTTATATCAATGTCAACACGGACACTAGCTTGTACTCTATCAATCCCAGACCAATGGGCACGATCTTATATCAATGTCAACACGGACACTAGCTTGTACTCTATCAATCCCAGACCAATGGGCACGATCTTATATCAATGTCAACACGGACACTAGCTTGTACTCTATCAATCCCAGACCAATGGGCACGATCTCATCAGCTATCAATGTCAACACGGACACTAGCTTGTACTCTATCAATCCCAGACCAATGGGCACGATCTCATCAGCTATCAATGTCAACACGGACACTAGCTTGTACTCTATCAATCCCAGACCAATGGGCACGATCTTATATCAATGTCAACACGGACACTAGCTTGTACTCAATGCCAGACCAATGGGCACGATCTCATCAGCTATCAATGTCAACAAGGACACTAGCTTGTACTCTATCAATCCCAGACTAATGGGCACGATCTTCAACTTGCTTGTTTAAAGATATTATTAACAGACGTAATTACAAGTTATACGTCGTTATATATATAACGTAGTTCAGCTAATCACAATATGGATTTGCGTCTTTACTAGTTAAATTTAGTTTACTAGTACTTACTAGTAATTTACCTAGATTACTATGGGTCTCTGTATTTATTACAGTATGACAGGTGCCTGCAGTTTAGTACACGCATAAATATTTCCCGGTAAACCTTGTTCTAGAAATAAAAACGTTGAGATCTAAAGATAGGAAAACTCCGCTGGAAAAGACGTTTTGGAGACATTAGAACCGATAAAGGTCGAGATCTATTTCATAGATTTGAACCTCAACACAGTTTATGCATTTAGCATAAAGTATTGAGAGGTCTTGGAAAATCTAAATATATAAAAGCTTTTAGATTATTCAATTATGTACATGCCTATATGTTCTATCATAGTATATAATATTGTTGTTTCTCTAGATTCCAAGATATACAAACAAATTTTTCATAAGGCCTGGAAAGATCAAGAAATGAATCTTTTTTTTAAATTATGAGAAACCTAAACTTAAAATTATTTCTATAGAGAAAACTCGGTTTTGTTATTTTTTTTGTCTCAAGTTTCCTTGTCTGACTGTTTTTTGATTAAGACACGGAGTTGGAAGAGAAGGGTCAAGTGTAAGGGTTCTTCCAACTTTCCCTCTCCTCAGCCTGGGGGAGCCACGATTATCCGAACCCAACCCTGATCATAGTACAGAACCCAACCCTGATCAGAGTACAGAACCCACCCTGATCATAGTACAGAACCCAACCCTGATCAGAGTACAGAACCCAACCCTGATCAGAGGACAGAACCCAACCCTGATCAGAGTACAGAACCCAACCCTGATAAAAGTTCAGAATCCAATCCTGATCAAAGTACAGAATCCAACACTGATCAGAGTAAATAACCCAACCCTGATCAGAGTACAGAACTCAAACCGGATTAGAGTACAAAACCCAACCCGGATCTTAGTGCAGAACCCAAACTATATCAGAGTACAGAACTAACCCCTTATTCTGAATATGATTAGTGTACATTGTACATAATTATACAACAGAGATGAATCCAACTGTGATCCAGTACATAATCAAACCTAATCCGTACATATAAATCTGAATAAATTATTCATATTATTAATATTAGTACATAATTTTATATTTAATTTCATAATACTTTCAGTCTTGTACATAGCGCCCTGATCTCCCGTCCTCATGATTACGCTGACCCATTGAGTCTCTATAAACCCTCAACTCCGAGACCCCGTGTACTTGGTAACCCTGGAATGATTGCATTTAATTAAATACTGCACGTGAACTCAGACAGCTTGCAGAAATGAAAGATTTGGCGAAGTTTGAGAAAGAAAGTTGATTACAACCATGATATTTATTTTTTAAACATGCATTTAATGATTTAAACATTTAGGCCTTAATATTAACTTGTAAAAATACAACTTTCAACAAATAGATCGTGCTTCAGTTTTGTAAAGCTAGGTGTAGGGGGGGGGGGCCAGGGGGGGGAAAGGTCAAGAAGGATCATAAGGTGGGGAAAGATATCGATTAACGTTAATAAATTCTCTAAAAATATTACATTAATTAAATTGAATTAATTGAATTTCCCCAGTCTCCCCCTCCTTCCTCCCCTGACCATTTGACCGGTCAACCTAAGTCGTCATACAGTACGAAAGCAATTGTATGTAAATGTACCCGACCAAGCGCACGGTCGCCATTTTTCATTATTCCAGAAACCTCTTTAACAAAATAAATTGAGAATTCAATGAATTAGAATCTTATATAAATATTTCTCCGCGTTCAGTTTCTGGAGCGCAGCCAGCATTACGTGTCGGTCAACGCACACTCACAATCTACAGACACAAACATGGGGTGGGGGGCAGGGTTATTGAGCTTGACAACAATTGCAGCGTTAAATTGATACTTGAAGCTCTCGAGGCAAAAATCCCTAGATAGAGATAAAAAACATACCTGAAAAATAATTAAAAGGTTATTATTTTGTTAAGAAATTAGTTTTGCTGAATATTTTTGTAATTTAGGTTTTCAATAATTTCCAATTAGTACAGGGTGTCCCACGATACATAACAGTTGGTGAATGTTTAGACATTAACAGTTGGTGAATGTTTAGAAATGTCTTCAATATCGACTAATACACTATAGAAGACATTCAAAACTATTCAACAACTGTCATGTTTCGTGGGACACCCTGTGCATTACAAACGTGAAAGAGGGTTGGACTAATATCTAGGTATGTGTCGAGGATAAAGGCCAAATTTTCGATGACACTAGATGAAATTAAACCTTATACGTGGTTATATCTACAGGTGAGGTTGAATAATAGCGAAGATGATAAAATATTTCAAATTATAACACAGAGAACCACATGAGATAAAGTGCAAGCAAACATAGATTCTATCTAAACCTTTAATCTGCTAAATTAACTGTTGGATTCCTTTTAGTCTATTAAGCTTTGATCTGGCAGGGATAGTTGCTCCAGGGTTACAGTAATACAGGTCTTGTACACTGTACATCACAATTTGAAAATTATACTCTAATATTTTTAATTCTTAAATTTGATTTAACGAAAATTAGAAGAAAAACATTTAAAAGTTACAGTTCTAAATTTTGCAAATCTTGTTGTACTCTACATATTCATGAAAAAAGTTGCAACTTGGTCAGAAATATTCAAAAATCATCTTGAATGATATTTAATAAATGTTGACATTTTTCACACTTCCCTCCCTGGCTTACCACGCTTGGTTACACCTCAGAAATTCTTAAAATTTCATATTAGATACTGAAATATTTTTAAACATGAATACGCTGTTTCTTAAAGAGTCTGTCGCTGTAATAGAAAATGACTATTTCTTTTAAGAGAGGACTTTGAACCTTTGTGCAATAATAAACAAGATATCTTTGTATTTCTCATTAACAGTTGATAATTTTGAATTGCAGGATTAATCTACAAATGTAAATTGCGGATTTATGGACTAAAGACAAAGATAAAAGATAGAAAAACGACAATTTGTTCCTAATTGTTGTTAAGATAAATCGATCAGGCAACTTTTTAATTGAAATTAAGTTACAGTCTTAAAACAATTGTTACGTAGTGAGAGGGTTCTCAATAAGATATTTAAACAAGTTACGCAGTGAGAGGGTTCCCAATAAGATATTTAAACAAGTTACGTAGTGAGAGGGTTCTCAATGATGAAACAGGTTACGTAGTGAGAGTGTTCTCAATGAAGATATTTAAACAAGTTACGCAGTGAGAGGGTTCTCAATGAAGATATTTAAACAAGTTACGTAGTGAGAGGGTTCTCAATGAAGATATTTAAACAAGTTACGCAGAGAGAGTGTTCCCAATGAAGATATTTAAACAAGTTACGTAATGAGAGTGTTCTCAATAAAGATAT